AAAATATAGAAAATATGATGAATTATATTTTTGAATTGAGAAATACAAAATATACTAAAAAGCTTTATGTATATTGATTTATAAAGTATTGAATTAAATTAAAAAAAAATTTAATTATATTTATAATTTTCAAAACATTTTTAATGAAAATCCCAAATCTATTAAAGAATATTTTGAATCAACTGTAAATATATAAATAAAACACAATACTTTAAATTAAAAAAATTTATAATTTTAATAAAATAAACTTTATAATAAGAATTATATGTAATAATAGTTATTACTAATATTAAAAAATGTAATAAAAACAAATTAGTATAGTTAAACAATGAAAAACAGATTATAGTAATAATATATGAAAATAAAGAGAATAATATTATTCCCTTGTTTTTAATAATTTAAAAATAAAATCATTTCTTCAATTAATATATCAAAACAAATTTTTCTATAGAATAAACTATTAAATTCATATTTAATAAATAGATAAATAATAAAATAGATTTAAAATAATTGAAATATTTTAATAAATATATTTAGAATCAAAGAAAAAACAAACATTGAATATCAACACTAAGTAAATGTGTATTATTGTATTCAAATCATTTAATCTAGCTATTTAATATTAGCTATTTCAATAATCTGAAATACTTGTATAATAATTAAATTAATGGATTTATTAAAATAAATATCAATTATATTTCATGAAGCAAGATGAGAAAGTGTAGTAATTATAAATCATTTAGAAAAGAAATTTAATTGAAAACTTACAGGCAAAATCGGTTTATCTTGTGATATTTTTTATTTTTAGATTTTTATTTAGATTTTCATTTTATTTAGATTTCAATTTTATTCAGATTTCAATTTCATTCAGATTTAAATGGATTAATTTCATATTAGATTATCGATTATACTATTGGACCACGAAAGCTATAATATTAAAATAATTTTTATTAATAATAAACCCATTACACCTAATATGACCCTTTTTCAATTGCTTATATAAACTTTAGCTTTGTATATACTATTAAAACTTCAATTTTTTATAAAAATCTTAGTTTTGAAACTAGTATTATAAAAAATTATTATTTGAAAGCTTTTAGTCTCTAATATATGGTTACCACTTTTTTTTTTTTTCAAATTTCTTTTCAATTCATATTAACTTAAATAAATTAATTTAAATGATTTCATTGAAAAGGTCGCTTGTGCTATGGCTACAATGCTAAGGAAGTTAAGTTAATTAGATTGTTTGAATCAGGTCTCATTAAACAAGAGTTTCTCTTTTTCATGTGTTTATAATATAATATACACTTCGGCCCTTGCGGGCGGCAAGAATATTAAAGAGGTAAACCTCCAATTAAATCCTTTATAGCTTTTAAAACTATATACAAAGAATCAATTATTTTTCAAAATATAAAAATAAGGTTTTAAGGAACAAATTTAGTTTCCTTAATGCTAAAACTATACTTTCGAAATTAAATATTCAAATTCATATACCTATCCCTCTTTCTTTTAATTTAAATCAATGGATCTCTCAAATCTCTTATAATTTAATCAAAGCTCTTTTTCAATTAATATTACTTAAATCTCGAATAACTTATTATTAATTAAACTCTCTTATATTTATATTTGAAATTATATTAGTTTTAATTAAAGATAACGTAACGTATGAGGAATTCCGATATATGAGGAACTCGGACAGGTACCTTTATATCAAATTTTGTATGTAAAGGTACTTAGAGCAACTTTTTATATCTCTATGGATATTAAAAATAATTTAATTTTTTTTGATAATTAGATTTGATATGTATCAAAAATATAGTATTAATGTTACAAAACATTTTTAAATAATATTATTCCTGGATTAATAAGATTTGAAAAATTCCTATAATAATTTTTGTTAAATAAAAACGAAAATTTGAAAGAAACCTTTAATATCTTTATTAAAAAAATATTTGTTTTTATGATATTCTATCATACTAAATATTTATATTGAATACATAATAATTAAAAATATCAAAACTATATCTCTAGTATTTATAGAGTTATAAAAAGTTGCTCTAAGTATCTTTACATACAAAATTTGGTGTAAAGATACCTGTCCGAGCTCTCTATATATCCGAGTTCCCGATACATTACGTTATAAAAAGATTAATTTTCAACAAAATATTCTTAAATATAAAGAATTATACATTTTGGATAATAAATAAAATACTAAATGAATATTAATATACAATTTTTTTTAATTATATTAAGAACAAGTATTTGTTAAATAAAAGGCTTTTGATGTATTATTTTAATAAAAAAATAATAATCAAATTTAATATAATAAATATTAAAATGAAGGGAGTTTTAATGAAAAAGTATTTTCTAATTGATATTATAGTAAATATAAGAATTTATTAAAATAATATAATGAATCTTAGATTCTTAGATTCTTAATAGTTTTAATTAATTTATTCAATTATTATAGAATAATATGAATATGAAAGTATAAATTGAGGTGAAAATGGGCTACTCAGTGATATAGGCTACTCGGTGTTAAACTACGCTAATAGATATCTTATTTCTTTTAATTTATTAAATATAATTTTTATTTATTATTGAAGATAAACAAGCTGATTATTGATCAATTTTAAAATAAAAATTTAGTATTTAGAGATTCTCTTCTTCAATATTACATAATTCATATTAAGATCTTTAAAGTTTATTTCACAATATCAAACTAATATAATAAATAACATTAATTAAAAAATTATTATTATTATTAAATCTGAGAAATGATAATTTCACTTTTTTCTAAGAATACTTTCATTTTTCAAATAGTTTTAAGTAAATTAAAATTAAAAAGAAACTTATTAAACCTAAACATATAAAATATCAAAATGAAAAGTAATTAATTATAAATTCTAACAAAATTAACTCTATTTCCTATATTGTAAAAGAGTAGAAGGTGGTAGGGTTGTAGAGTAGTTCTTCGCATATATCACAGAAAAGTCACTATAATATAACACCTTAGATAAAAAAGAGGAAAAAGAGACTCTATATAATGCTTTATAAGATATATTAGAAGTTGAAAAGGAACTAACTATCATTTGTAAATTACAGAAAGAAGGATTATAAATACTTGTTACAGGAATAGATCACATAATCAGCACAAGGTTCTGCTCACAATATTTTAAATGTAAAAGTAAATATAAATTTTATAAATCTCAGATTTGCTTTTAGAATTCCTTTATTTAATTAATATTATTTATAATCTTATATAAATAGTATATTAATGATTTAATATTCATATAACAATATATACACTCTTTCTCGAAAAGCGTTCTATATTTATTAAAACGTTACCTAGGTATACAATTTTTTAATATCAAAACCCACTGATTAATTTGATATATCAAAGTTAAAGAAAACAAAATAATTAACAAGCTCATTAATCTTGATTCATACAAATTCATTTAGAATCTAGAATTCGTATCAAAATCAATTATTAATAAAATAGATATCATAATCAAAAAGCTTAATTTCTATTCAAAACAACATCAATCATAAAATTATAATTTCTTTTTTCAAAAATATATAATAAATATAATCTTGTTCATATTAAAAACTCCATTTTAAATTTAATTTATCATATATTTAATATATGACAAATTTATATAAATTACAAATAGTTTAAATATTAGAATATGAATTTGAAGTATTTTTATAATTATTAAAAGATTGTTAAATATTTAATATCACATTACAGATTGCTATTTTTGAGAAATCAGAAAGAAATAGAAAACACTACATATATAAATATTTAGAAGCGTGTATTTAAAACTCTTTATCCAAATTGTTTTTAAAAATTGGGTTTCTTTATTTAATAATTTCAAAAAATGAGACTTTTTCTTCAATGGTTATAAAAAGATTATTATAATATTTATTAAAATTAAAGCTTTAAATCTATATATGATTTTTAAATAAATTTACAAATCGATATTTTGAAATTTTAGATTTCAATCCAGAAAAATCCTAAAAATCTAAACATATCAAAATAAGTTTAAAAGAATTTAAAAAATATATAATCTGATAAATTTTATTCACAAATAGGAAAATTAAAAAATTAATTTTGAGATCTTTAATAATGGAAAATATCTCAAAACAGAGGTGGTTAGGAAACAGAGCACTTAATTAATAGGATGATAGGCTCTATATATGAAATTACTTATCCTTTCATTCTTTTTAATTGTTTCCAATTTTTTTTTTTTTAAATTAGAATTAAACATTTCGGAATAGACTTTGATATCTATCTCAAAATCTATATGAACTCTATGAAGCATAAGAGTATAGCAAATATGAATTTTAGGATATAAAAATAGTCAAATAACGTTTACAAGGCATCAGAGTGATTTGTTGTATAATATATTAACTATCAACTCACATTCTTTCCACATCAAGAGTTATAATTAATTCGAATTTCAATGTCTATATGAAAACATCCCGATTGATTCATAGTAATAGTATGTTGAGTTAATAATGAGATTAAAAGACGTTTAATTGACAATATACTTAGATTTTACTACAATACATCAGTTTGTATTACTTCCCGAATATAGTTTCAAAAATATCAAAAATACAAAAATTATATTCTTTCACAAAGAACTCTTTAAAATAGTCTGAGAAATTTCATCAGTTTTTTTCAATCTATATATAATTAATAAAGTAGAACAATGATGTTTCAGTGTATAAATATACTCTAACAAACATAAATGATCCATGATAATGAAAACATTACAAGATTGACGGTCTCGGAGCGAAATACAACAATATCTAGAGAAAAAGAATCGAGTTCTTTATTACTCGTTAATTCACTGCCATTTCACCCTACGCATATGAAAATATGAAGTAGTCTCGAGAGGCAAATAACGATGAGGTTCTCAAGGTGCCTTTTGATCTTCCGAGATGTTATTGTTCTTTCTATAATACACTAAACACGAAGTTCCAGAACATTATTCCTACTCGACCCTCTTCACAGCAAACTCAATGATTGCCACTCCATCCTCCATCCCAGCACCATCTTTAGCACCAAATGCCATTTCCTCAAAGGATCTCATCCATGCCTGCGTTTCCCACCTTGTCCCCGTCTCTTGTCCAACCTGATCCCACAATTTCGCAAAGGATTCCGGATTGTGTCGCCACATAGAAACGACGAGTGTCTTCAAAGTTACTTCTTGTGCTTTGGAGTTTCCAATCTGATTTCCTACAATCATGGAGCCAGGCCCTTTGGTAAACCCAATCAACTGTTTGGCTGCTTTGACTTGTCCTTCCCAATCCCATTGGTGAATCACCTGTGTTATTGCGATGATATCTATTTTACCTCTCAATGGCGCCAGCGCTTTGGACTCGGATACGATATCAGCTTCGATAAACTACGCAGAGAGCTGATCACGGTCGTGGAACAAGTTATACCCCACATCCCAGTGGCTCACGATATCGATAGCATAAATTTTATCCGAGGGCGCACCATCGTAGACTAATCGTCGAAGATCATGTCCAAGAAAACATCCAACATCTATCAATACCTCACCGGCCTGGACCCGCTTCAAAATCTCAGGATACACAGGGTTCCGACAAAGTTGAGGTACAAGCCATGCACCAACTCCCGTGCAAGGGTACGCGCGGATGTCCCAGGCTTGGTCACGTTGGAAGAAGGATTAGATTTAGAGAAACAGCATGAGAAAAGAACGCCTTACGATTTCATGGACATGTTTGGATTGTTCCTCCGGTGGAATATGGCTATAATTTTCTAATAGCTGTCTTGTCTACATGTTGGAAAATGTCAGTTCGTTGAAAGACCACTACCTATCCTTGAGTATCCGAGGGCATTGACTCGTACCTCCGGAATGAGCTTCGCATCAATATTTGGTAGATAGAATGGGAACTTGGCTCTGTCAACTGAACTTGCATATCGGGCTCTGAGTAATTCAAAGCATCACTTGCTGATGCCATAACCAATGATCGAGCTATCTTGGACGCTCTGATTGTTCTCCTGTGTAGACTTGATGGTACGGAAGCGAGGAGTATAATATACTTAACTGGTGTGATGTGACCCACAGTCAGCCAACAGTTGGTTGTATGTCACCGCTGCTGACAGTGAAAGATCCACTATGTAAGCGTGTAACATAAAAACTTGACTTTGCACTCCGTTCGATGGAAGTAGACGTAATGAAGAGCCGCTCCTGCATCAATGCTACTAAACTTTAGTCCATCCTTCTGCAGTATTCTGAACCTGATGATCCGCCAAAGAAATCATATAACTGCAGAAATCGTAAGTGGAATATTCGGAATGGACGGAAGTATTGTATGTCTTCCTTGCTGAAGTTATGGGAAATTCTCCTTTGTTGTAGCAGAGATCCACACATAATCAAAGATCCTCATACTATTTGAGCTGAAGATATCGGATCCGACAAAAAATCGCCCAATAAAGTGTTTGGTGATGTCTCCATCTCAGGTGGGCGCCTGCATAGTATTTGTCGTTTTCATACATGCCCCTGCTCTAGTCTAGTAATGACCTTGAGGCTTATGCACATGTACATATGCAATTTTCTTGGAGAAGTGATGAAATGTCTGTATTTATCCTCAATGTAAGCTGAATGCAGTGTATTTGTTCTCCAGACCCAACTCAGTGCTAACGGTTACTCTTGTTGTGGAATCCGGGACAGTTGTATGGATTCCGGCCGCAATCCATAAGCTCTTCCAAAGATATCATTGTTTTATAAATTGAGTAGGCGGTGCAGAGAGGCTCTTGAGTATGGATGCCTAGCTTCGTCTCAAGACTGGGGCAGTGCGACGATTTCCATCACACTTATGCAAACCGGTCTGTGCTATAGCTTGCCTATATCACCCAATCTCTCATTACAATAACTCTCGATTTCCGCGTGTTAAGAGCCCATTTCATGCACCATTTGCTCTTCACTCGTTGGTGAAGTCTCCACAGTATACATCCTAATATGTATTTTGCTATTAGCCTGGGCGGTCTCCTTTTCTTAGCGATATTGTTAGAATGCGGATGCGTTCGGAATACTTTGCCAAAGACGTGTTATGTGCAAGTGGATCATGGGAATTACAAATAAATCCCGGCTGGACATCAAGGTAGTAGGTGATGCAACTAATTTTATCGTGGTCATTATTGTCTTGACTGTAGTGTGAACGATAAACTCGGCGGTGAGTCGGGAAATCGGCATGTTGCTTACTCTTTGCTGTGCTTATTGTGAGTTTGATATCAATGTGAAGAAGCGCAGTGCTGGCGGCGGCATTTTCGAGAAGCACATCGGCGGGGAATGGCCGTTGTGAAAATGTTGTAAAGCATCTTAACTGTGAAACAAAAAGATTGATTAATTATCCTCGTGTCATCACAAACTCAAGCGTCTCACGAGCCCGCTGTAGTATCTGTGAAGTTTTGAGTCATTTATGCAAGAGAATCATCAATGAGCATAGAATATCAAGCTGATTACGAAGATATGTCTCGTAACAAATGCGATGATTTGATCTTGCGCCGAATCAGATGTCGAAGTAGTTGCATCTTGCCTTTTAACACTTGACACCATCTCCTACCATAGGACTTCCCGAGGCCTAACGAACATTGCTACATCAGCTCATATCACTTGTCTCATTGGACGCTCCAATTTGTAACTCTGGTTCAACTACTAATCTGATAGAAAATTGGTCCAAAGGCTGGGAAAAGCTTGGAGATGGATGGCCCCGGGCACCTGGACCTGTGAGCTAATTACTCTATTCTATGTAGGAATGAATCTAGAAACACAGTGAAATGAGTACACATTTTGCCCTTTCGTGAATGACGATAAGTAGAATACAGAATTGGACTGCTCTGTTTGGAGCGATCCCTTGAAATTTGCAGTCAACAAAGAGTCGATGTTCACATAATGATCTAAGAAACACCTCCCTCCTCGAAATGCCGCCGTTCTTTTGGTTGGCTGGATCAATTGCGATGGCAATAGACAAGTGCTTAAGGTTACTGAAGGCACCATAGCCAGCACGATCAACATGTGCAGCAAATCCACCAGAACCAGCAACTTTTCAGCGACCCATAAACTCATTTCATTCTCCCTACCCAGCTATGACCCAAGCTAGATAATCATTTCAATTCGTGGGCACGTAAGAATGAGTATAAAGCTTTATTGAATGGAGTGTATGTATGATAAGAACGACAGATCCTCCCGTTTTCAAGAAAAATACTTATCAATAACCTTTTAAATGACCCGACAGTATCCGGAAAAACATAAATGATCTTGATCACGCTTAAATAGATCCAAGCTAAGTAAGGGTATTTACACCTCCCCGCAAAAAAGAAGTCATGAATACAAATATACAACAAACCCTCCTGCAATGTTCCGAAGACACTTGCTTGTTACATAAATACCGAACAAAATAAAATAGCCAAGAGGTACTTTTCAAAATAGCCATATACCATCCAACGAAATGGCTTTTAAACGCTTGCATCCTATGCATCAAATGAAGAATATCCCAATAGCAGCTAAATTCATAAGCCATTATAAACGCCTCAGTACTCCATTCCCTAAACCCTAGTATGTCCATATAGTGGTATCCTTCTCAAATAGTACCGCTGGACCGGCTGTCTTTCTCGCTCTACATTTTCTTCCGAGCATTTGTCATTAATCTTAAACCATTCAATCACTACCTAGGAGCTGGCGTGTAAGGCTTGTATCCTGGATATGCTGGTGTCTCTGGCTCTGGTGGAGCATAAGGTTTGTATCCCGGATACACTGATGTCTCTTGCTGCTGTGGGGGACTTCTTGTTACACTCCTCTGCACTCCCTGGTCGTAATTATCCTGTCCCTGTCCAAACACAGATTGTTGCTGCAGTGGTGGTGCAGGTGAATGATTGTTAAATCCTCTTTGTTGTGCATCACCATAACCTCCCATCTGCGGGCCCGGTGACATCATTCTATTCGGTCCATTTGGTCCAGGTCCCCTAGAAGGCATGCGCGGGGGAGGATATGTACCGACATTGGAGGAATTGTCTGATTGATAGGATTGATACGACTGCTCAGTGTTGTTGGTGTATGATCTTCCTTGGTTCAATGGCCTCGAGGAATCATTGGAAAACTGACGTGATGGTTGGGCTGGGTATGGTCGATTATCATACATTGGTTCTGCTTGACCGTATGCCGAGATTGGAGAGTCGTTGAAACCGCGACTGGAAATGAATTCTTGTGGCATAGTCGGTTCAAAGTCTTGATTCTGAGGGGGTCCTCCATATCCTCGGCTTGGTGCTGGAGAGGGTCCACCCCTGAATTGCCCTGGTCCACGATTCATTCCTGGGCCCGGTGAAGGTGCACCGCGATATCCTCGACCACCAGGTGGAGGCGTTCCTCTGTATCCCATACCTGCATTTCCCATTCCGATTGCTGATCCAGGTCCTGGTGTCCCTCTATACCCCATTCCATCTTGTTGATTACCTGGGCCCATTGGAGGCGGCGTTCCTCTATAGCCTATGAGCGGATCGATGGGCATTCCGGGATTCGGCGTTCCTCCTAGGCCATACCCTCTACCCATTCCATTTCCTCCTAAATTGACTTGACTTTGGTTATGTGGATCCTGTGAATTCATAAACCCATTGTTCGTACCCTGAGGTTGTCTTCCATAAGGGCTTTCCCCTGGTCCAACCGCTGGGCTATTGGGATGACTATTGGCGACGCCTCCGTTCATCAATGGCATCTTCTGTCCCGTGACAGGATCTAACTCCTTCAATTCCATGCCCATATCACCTTTCTCATCATCATTTATATGTACTTTGCTCGCATTTTCCCATGTCGGCATAGGCGGTAATGCATCTTCTGAGATAGTCTTTGGCGGATCGACCGCGAGACCGTTTTTGCCTACTTCAAATGTTGCATACTTGAGAGGTTCGGGTCGTGCGGGAAGAGCGCCGCCCATCATTGGCGCTGGGGCTTGATAGCCTTGATTTGGATTTGGATTTGGATAATCGTCAAGATGTTTGTGAGGGCGGTCTCTTTTACCATCGCAGCAGCCACCACAACAATCACAACATTTAAGAAAGGAAAAGCAAGTGCAACAACAGGACATGCCACAACAAGCACATCTTATTATACACCAAACTATGGAAAAAACCATCAAGCCAACGACGATAATTGCTGCTATGACAGGCCATCTAGAGGCAAGGTGAGGTTAGTTTGAGTTTAAGGAGGGAATGGTTGGTAATGGAATATGCCAAAGGGGGAGGAGCGACGAACTTGCAATATGTCGCTGCCATACAATTTGACCATGAACTAAAAGAATCCTTCACACTCGAGACATCACCTGTAATTGATCTTTTCCTTAAAAAGCTATCCGCCAATATTTCTCCAATTCCCCTCCTCCTACTCCACTCCATCGCTGTTGTAATATGTGGCATTGTGAAATGTAATGTTGGCACACAATAAATTCTAGCAGTCGGAAAGTGCCTCGGGGTGGCGTGGTAAGACTTGATTCTCAAGTTTGTTGAATGCGATAACTTCAACTGTGTGTCGCAAGTGAGTAGTCCCTTTGGATGGTACAAGATTTGTTGCTGGTTGGTAATTCCAGTTATTTGTTGATCCTCATTTGACTTGGATTATTCTGGGTCCTATTCCTTCCTTCCAAAGCAAACTCTCCAATTTCCCTCCTCTAAGTTTTCACCATCAAATTCGCCGTGTGTTTTAATCTCTTGAGTCAATCTGTTGACTCGGGTGAATCAACGTGCTATCGAATCACCGAAACGGATTTCTTCTTGTGACTGTGAAATTTCAATTCCAATTCCAATTTCTCCCATTCATTTCTCCCAATCTTCTAGTCAGTTACGTAGTCCTCGAAGTTGCTGCTAAGTTTTCGTACTTAATTTAGGGAATGAAAGTCGTATCTCGTCGCAAAGAATTCCAAGAGATCCAAAAGAATTTGTAGGAATGAGCGAAGGATTTTTGGATTCTTTAGGTATCCTTATTAAGACGCGCACGAACAATCATGCAATATCAACAAGAAGGATTGGATTGCCCTCACATTCGGACGGTAATGATAGGTGAAACGAGAGTGGACAAGATCTTGGACATCTTGGATGGTTACAGAGAGAGAGAGAGAGTGGTGGATGAGGCAGGGCAGTGCAGGGTAGTGTTTAATTTGAAGGAAATTGTGGTTTGTTGGAGGTCCTGGTGGTCATGTATATGAAGCCCAAGCTTTTTTCCCGGGCTATCTCTACACTATCTCACATTTTCAGCCTATTCTAATCCACTATTGCACCCAAGTTCCTTAATCTGAATCAGCCTGATGGAAGTTTGCGATTTATTTGCAAAGTAGTCTGCATTGATAGTTGATAGTAACACAGTCGTATATGAGTGAGTGAGTGAGTGAGTGAGTGAGTGAGTGCATAATAGGAGGTCATGTCTATGTCATAAGTATCATTCTTATGTTTATTTTTCGTCATCCACTTTTCACTCTTCACTCTACATTCTTGACTCTTCACTCCTCTCTCTATCCATCACTCCATTTACGCATCACCATCACTTCCCTATCACATGATTTACATCATGATCCAATCCCTCATTATCTCCTTCAATCATCAATCGCAACCGAAATGAGACAATCGGGCACTATGCCCACTTTACTTTACTCCAGCACGCACGCACTCCACTCCACACTAATGTCAGGGGTTAGAATTTTGATGTGCCTTTTCCCGACCTTGGCGCCATGGCACTGGTGGCTGATGATTATGGAAAAGTCGCCCTCGGGAATAAGGGTTACAATCACGTGCTTTTCGGAATATTGGTTGGTTCGCAAGCTCGAAGTGGATCGAGGCGCAGTTATCAAATGCTGTTTCGAGAGAAAAATTGGCGACCTGTTTATTCCATCCTTCTTGTTGTTGTAGAGAGATCATGAAAGAGATGTTCATTGGCCATCGTATAGATACGAATAGCACTTAAAATAGACACAGCGAATTCCGGTCGGCACTTTAATTGTTAAAAGCCATGAGATGTCCCCTTACTGGTTATGCTATTCAAGAACTTGAGGCTGAGATGTCAAACGGTTGTTGTCGTGGTGTGGTAATACAGGGTATAGGGACTGCCTTACAGTCGTAGATACAGCTAGCTTGCACCCAAGGCTTCACAAGGCTATGAAGTCTCAATGTCATTTGAAGAATGGCCCAATTTTTCTTCACTACCCTGTTCTATCTTCTCTGTCTTCTGCACTCTTGTTGGTAAGACAACTTCCAAGGCTGTAGGCAGTTGCGCCAAAGTTCGAGATCAGATGGTTAATTCTAGTACAAAAAGTGTCAAGCAAGTTCTGCTTGGCATGAGAAGATGTTGTCATTGAAGAACCTGGTTTCCTCTATCTGAACCGCGTTACTGTATCGCATTCACGGAGCAAGTGTTTATCATTTCAGATCACACCTGGTCTTGATTCAAAGTGATCATTCTGAAGCTGAGCTACTTCACTCTTCCCGAATGAAAGTTTAGAAGTGTGGTCATTTCAAGAGTTTGAGGAATTCTATTTCGCCATTACATCCAAACACTATGCATGTATTCTCATTCCACCATTATTATGATGAGAAAGTAGCGTTTGAATGCTTACAATCTGCTTCAAGGTAGTCTTTCAGGGCAAATACTTAGATTCGATTAGCACAGAATTTAAGTAACGATTGCTTTCGAACAGTTACTGTATGCCCGGGGAAGCGCAATACAAGGGTTTATCTCTGTTATCTTACATTTCATACTAGATTTAGACTGTTATTCAATATCTGACAAGGACGCCGTATTGATATTTTGATAGAGGAACTTGTACGATGTCTATTTATGTGCTTGGCATACAAGCTAGTCACCGGAACCCAAGCTCAAAACAGATAATCACATCTATGGGAATGTTCTCGCCTTAATCTATCTACTTAGTTGTCTGGTTCTCAAGGGTAGGTAAACTATAGGATTGGCAATTTGAGAAATCTCTAGTATGCTATCAGTTATGAGATTCTTCGAAGTTGTCATTTGGCAGCAATTCGCAAACTACATGGAGATCAGGCTGCTTAACTTTGACCGCTCATGTTTCAAAAACTTGATATATTCCGGATTTTGAGCTTAGCTTTGCAGTCTTGCGTCCCCAAAGCGTCTATCAAGCATTCGCAGGTCTAAGAGTTGAAGCATTTATGACCTGTACTTGATTCCATCATTACCCATCTATCGTTTCTGTCTACTGGCTTATCATTCAGAGTGATATGGCTGAATAATTCTAATGCCTCTCCCTTTATTTTCTGATCTTCAACCATTCCAGAAGTTCGAGCACACCTTTTCCCCTCCACCTTTCTAATTTACACAACTTCCTCCAGCTTTACATTGCTCCTACCTGCCCCCAGACCTTAATACCACTGTATTCAACACGCCTTTCTATTCACTTCTCTCTTTCTACTTCGTTGTGCTTCGGAAACATGCAGTCTATTATCCGATCGGTTGGCCAAAACTAAAAGATTACCTTTCAGTCGAAGTTTTGTTGCATATCTGAAAGACTTTGTTTTTTTGAGGGGTTCCAATCCAAATGGATTGGAACCTCTTCCAACTGTAACCGTTTGAGTTTTGTTGCAGAGCTGAAAGAGTGTATTGTCCGAAGGGCTCAAATTCAAATCGATTGAGACCTCTTCTTGCAACGACTTTGAGATATGCAACAAGACTGAACACCTCATCTAATTTCAAAGTATAGTTGAGAGATTTTGTTGCAGATCTGGAAGAATTTACTGTCCAAGGGGCTCAAATCCAAATTGATTAAGAACTCTTCTTCCAGTGATTGTAAGTTTTATTGTATATCTGGAAAGCTACTTGGTATGCCGTTTGAAGGGTCCGAATCCAAATCGATTGAAGCCTCTTCAACCAACGATTTTGAGATACGCAACAAAAGTCCCACTTTCTCACTTCGAAGAATCAGGTCAGGTGCCAGTTACCTTGAGTTTTGTTGCATATCTAGTAGACTACACTTTGGAGAGCTCCAAACCCAAATCGATTGAAACCTCTTCTTGCAAAGATCTTGAAATATACAGCGAAACTTCCCGTTTCTCTACCTAAAAGAATCAGGTTAAATACTTGGTCTTATTATATATCTGAGTTTAGGAGCGCCAATCTTGAAAATGATTGTAACGTTACAAAGTCTCTACGATTTTTCTCAGATATGCAACAAAACCCCCATCTCTATCTCCCCATCTTCACGAGAAAAGGTAACTAATTGGATATCAAAACCACAAACACCAAAATTATATATTACCCATCTCATTCCTTCCTTCCACAAAACTCACTTTCGAGGTCGAATCACGGTACTATAAATTCTGAATGTGACGTGCGGAATCTTGATACAAGAGTAGGCCGCTCAACGAACACGATGTATGATGACTAGTTAAGGTGTAAGCAAATGATCTGTAATATATTTGTATCAGGGGAAGAGAAAGGGACTATATATACCATGGGATATGTAGTAAAATCAAAATCAATAGAACTCGTCTAAAGATAGGAGAATGAAACGAAACGTAACGAAACACATCGCATCGCATAGCATCGAACAAGAACACACAACACCAGACAATACACCCTTTCTTGCCTCACCACCCAACATCTTGCACTGTAATCACCCCCAGTAGCAGAGACTCGAGTATCTCATTTTCAAAACATCTCACCTACATCTTCTTTATATCTTCCTTCTCACAAGAGACATATACGTATCATACATTTCAAAGCTAAATATCACAATTAAGATCCTGTTCTATATCACTCAAACAATACAACACATACTTGCAACGTGAATATGATAACTTGTATATTTCTGTTTATTGACCATTTCCAATCTCTTCATCCCTGAATTATGCATTGATTCATTGCCGTTGATTGATAGGAAACCTCCAAACTGGTAAGACCCGTTCCAAACTCCCTTCCTTACAGATTACCTAGCACCAAAGCCAACCCGAACCTGAACCCAAACCGACGTCAATGTGATCTTAAAAACGACTAATTCACATCCGTCATTCCCCACTTCTTTTCATCATCACTGCCATTCTATGTCCCTTCCACTTGCCCATCGTTGTAACGCATTATATCGCGTCATGACAATTGCAACCTCCACCAATCGCTTCACCATTGCGCAAGCGAAGTGCCCCCCTCACCCGGACTTCCTCAAACAATCAACGTCTCATTTTCATCTGATCAGAATTTAACGAATGACTCCATGTCCCTAGGTGTGTTTTGTAGGTGGTGGACCCATTGGTGCTTGGTAAACATCATCTCCGCCTCTCGTGTAGGCATTGGGTGGTTGTTGCAATTCAATATCTGGTTGACCATGTTGACCATGATGCCCGTAATATCCATCATTACTATTAAAAGTGTTGCCCGTTTGTTGTGGTGGGATCTGTCCATTTGGAGTATACATTGGTGGAGGGGGACCATAGTTGTAAGCTCCGGGTTGGTTGTTGTAATGACCATATGGAGGGGGCTTGGCCATCCAGCCTGTACCATACATTGGCTGAACTCCTTGACGACGACGACGACGGGAGTTGATGCATCTGGTGGTATGTGTTAGTCGGTTGGAAGTGAGAATGTTGAAGGAAGGGATGTGATATGGCGATCCACATATGAGCTCGGTAGGTCGTTACAATCAAATCGTGCCAGTGAAGCATATTGGAAATGGTAATAACAACTTACGATAAACCGAAAGCCAGAAGAACAAAGGCAAGAATTATGAGAACTAGTACAACCCATCGTCCCCAACTGCCCCATGTCGAATAGCAGTTTCCATAGCCATCGCAGCTGTAAGCCATCTTATTAGTTTAGTCACTAGTATCTTCTGTTGGTACCGTGTATTGCGAGGAGGTGTTGAAGAATTGTAAACAAGTTGAAGTATGATTATGTAAATATCTGGATACCTGAATATTGCTCGATGTAACAAATGATCGAGAATTACAGAGGTTGTGTATTTGTTTGTGTGTGTGTGTGTGTGTGTGTGTGTGTGTGTAGAACAAGAGAGAAGTGAAGTAAGTTATTGTGGAAGCTAATCGTATTTCTCGACCGTCATCACAGCTCACAGACAACAACAAAGGAATATCGAGAGAGGTTGGGTAAAAGAAAGGTTGAAAAAAAAAAAATAAGGAAATAGGAAATAGGAAATAGACTTACTTATTATCAATATTATCATCATCATCATTAAAGTTATTGCTTTGCCTCTTGGCAATCATCTGCACGAGCACAGCCATGATTTCGTTTGTAATATTCAGCTGGTTTTTAGGTTGGCACAGTAGGTATTACTACAAGGAAGAGAGCTTGAGGGAAATTTTCTTATATGAGATTGAAATCCTTATCGTGGCAAAGAGGATACGCGGCGACGGGGGACGGGGGACGGGGGACGGGGGGCTGAGAGTCTAAGAGTCTGAGAGTCTGATGATGGTTGGGTACTTTTTTTTTGCGGGGTAAGCAAGATGATCCGTCAGGAATTAATTGTCTTGTCTCTGATATGTGTGTGAGATATTGAGGAGAGAGAGGGAGGATTGATTGTTAAAGAGAGAGTTTGAAATGGAGAAAAGGAGGGAGAAAAAGAGGGAGAAAAAGAGGGAGAAAAAGAGGGAGAATAAGAGAGAAGGAGAGACGGTGGGTGATGGGTGATGGGTGATGGGTGATATTGAGAAGATGAGACAATAATGGTCGATGGATGGATGTTTTTAAATCTTCAGGTGCAGGTACCGATGCACGATATGGAAAAAGCAAAAGAAAGGTGAAGAAAGGAATAGGAACAGGAAGGAATTGGAACTGGAACTGGAACTGGAACTGGACTGAGGAAGTACTAGCTAGAGAGGAAATCAATAGCTAAGAGACATATCAGCTAAGGTACCTGGGACCTGGATAGTAAGTGCTGGGTAGATGGCTTCTTGGGTGATAGAAACGAGGCTATGTTGAAAAAGTAAGTCAGACTCGGGACTCGGATTGGATTGGATTGATAGATCAATAGATAAATAGGTTGATAGATAGATTGATAGATAGATTGATAGATCGAGTATATATAAGTATTGTCAATTGTCAATATATACGGATGTACGATGTTGTAATATATACCTACATACACACACATTACATTCATCAATGGATTACGTCGATGTGGATCTCTCTCTCTCTCTCTCTCTCTCTCTCTCTCTCTGTCGGAGTCTGTCCCTTCGTACTTCGTATTTATCATATTCCCGAACATTCCGGATCACGAGAGAAGGGAGAGAAAATTTCATAGTGGTGGAGTGAAGTGAGGTGAGGTGAGGTAAAGTTACACTGATTGAAGTGAGGGTTGGGTAGAGATACCTAGTAAGTACCTAGTAGATAGATACTGTACTCTAGATATCCGCCGGCATCAACCTCAAGTCTTACATGGGAAATCCTACCTACTTACATGTATGGAATACAACATACCAACTCGTCGATAGAGTATTCCAAATCATGTATCCGTTCACATCCGACTCGACTCGTTCATCCCATATTTTCCAAGTCTCTTCACATATTAATAAGCGCACATCCTCATCGTCACCCCCTCCCGTCATATTCAATCAAATTCCACTTCATGCAATTAAAAAAATAAATAAAGTTGTCCAATAATTAATTGTCCAGTAACCTCATGAACTCAATGCTCCATCACAGCCCTGCCTGTCCTCTCCATCCAAACAACATCCTTACCGATTTTCATCAATTTTTCTTATCCTTTTCCTTTTCCTCCAGCCTCGCTCAAAATTCCCTTCCTCCCAATTGTCTCAGCGATGCTTTTTCTTCAATCACATCCCCCTCTCGCCAATCTATCCAATCACATCCACTCATCTATCCTCCATTCCTGCAAGCCATGGGCTATCCATGCCCGGTGCCAACGCATCAAACGTGCGGACTGTGCTTTTCTGAGAATTAAGGGCTGCCAGCGAAGCATGCGCGATGCATCTCTAAGCATTATTGTGTGAAATGCCTGACGGTCCCTCTCCTCTGTTATTTCTTTTCTTCCCTCCCTCCCTCCCTTCCTCCCTTCCTCCCTCCCTCGAATCTTTCCCCGTCAATTCCAATTGTCCAGGGCGAACTCGATGTCTTTCCCATCACTCACCATTCCAGCCCACTGAAAAGCTCCCGAGAATCCACTCATGATTGCTACTACTATTGCTATACACATTACATACGATGCGCCGAGAAATTGATACGAATGATAAAATGCGGGTAAGACACCCAATACGCCGTTATGAACATTCGTGTTTGTCTCAAACTCCTTCCCACCATATTCGATGTTTTGGCCAACTCGACTCGAGCCTCAAAGTACTTTATGGGTGGAGGGCATCCGGTCACGAAACTGGTTCAGAAGGAGACGCGCGCATCTATGCATATTTGAACAAAGTCTCATCACGAGAACTTTGAATAAAACTTTGGAATTAGCTGAGCATTGGGAATAGTTCACTGTGGACAAATTCTACACGAGTTGACAGCGCACATGCAGTTGATAGCAAGCCAACCTTCGCTCAAACGGATTTCAGACAGACACGGGCTTCCAACACACAAGACTCATCGTCATCTATTACCTCGTTCTAAAATTGCTAAGACGTGACATTGCCCCAACGTACCGTCGAAGACAAAACGAATACATGAAACGTCTGAAGACTTTCCGGAAATCCTACAATCTACATTTCGAGACGATCGCATGAATGATAAACGTACATATATATATATATTGGGAAATGGAAAAACGCAAAGCACTCAGGGAAATACGACTGGGCATGGAATCGCAAAATATGAATGTTTTAAATACAATGGTCCTTCTCCGATTATTTCAACACACAGGTGCCACTACCTCATTTACCAACTGGCACCATGCAACACGCTGGATGTCGATCCCAGCAATTCAACAATAAAGCAGATGGTCGTAAAGTCGTCTCATCGTTGCAGACATGGTGCATCCTACCCAGAAGAATACAAGGAAATTTGATACATTTCTGTCCCGCTGTTCGGCTCACAGCAAATCGAAAACTAGAAGTCGGAGGGATCCTCGCCGATTGAGAAGGAGGAATTTGAAAATAATTAGAATTGGTTGCTGTGGGCTGAGGAGATATATTCGTGGTCCGCGAAGACCCTTTTCGAAGTTCGATCATTTATCATCCCATCTTTTCGCCATTTCATGTCGTTAATCATCGTTAATATCCGGAGAACTCGTACCCGCAATACTCCATCCAAACTTCACGACAAGATTTACTTGTTCTTTGATGATCCATCATCCATCCTCCATGTGTACTCTACTTATTGGCCCTTGCAACCAGCCATTGCAAAACAGCATCCAAATTCGTCTCCTCCTTAGCACTGATCCCATAACAGCTCACCTCTCTATGTCCTACGCTCTTTAAATCTAACCTCTCAATCAACTCGTCCACACTCAACTTGTTTTCCAAATCAGATTTATTTCCCAATACCAAAAGAGGGATCCCTTGCAAGACGGGTTTTTCTAAAAGCAAATGAAGCTCATCTTTAGCGATTGGTAAGGCATCAGGATCGGCAGAGTCGACAATAAACACAATAGCATTTACACCGCGACAATATCGCTCCCACATGGAACGAAAGCGGGGTTGACCGCCTAGATCCCAACATTTGAGAGTGACATGACCTTTCTGGACACGCTTCATATTAAAACCAACGGTAGGAATGGAGCTATGAGGGAAAGTAAAATGTGGTCAGCTTGGAGCGGTTGCGCAACGTGGGGTCTAGGAATATGCGAACCCCGCTTCGATGAAATGAAGGCCGTGATAGGAAGGTACATGTATCTGATCTTGGATGTGAAGGAAAGGAATCATCGTACTCAAGTGTAAATTCTCCGCCCTGCACATTAACACCGTCATCAGCATTTCCGCCAAAGTAAAAGGTTCGACATGGAAAGAAATGGTGAGTGGAATTAGAGCTTACCGCTAGTACCCTTAACAAAGACGTCTTTCCAGCATTTTGCAAACCGATCATCGTAATGTCCATTTCCGTAGCCCTAAACGGCAGATCGCAAGGTTAGTTGATGGAGAGCAGAAAACCTTATTGAAATGGCTCTGTGTTGAGGGTCGCTGTCAAAATGAAGATGTGCGCACAAGATCGACGTCTTCAAGCAACAAACAGATGGTAAGAAACATACCAGAAAAGCCGCAGCAACCAATCATACACTCTTCTGAATATACTTGCCATGATCTTTCAGTCTCTCTTGCACACCTATGTGAATTATTTATCGTTTCGATGGAAGCCCTGGAGCTCTGTCGCTGACGAATGTGTTATTTCGTCGATTCGCAAGGCTGTGCAGGTACGATAGGGTAGGTATGTGAGGTTTCTGGACAAGAGGAAGATACAAGATTGCAGGGTTGAAGCCGGCAAAAGAAGTAGAGATGCAGTGCAGCCGCAGACCGTTTTTCCGTAAGTAAGCCAATGATCAGATAGCTACCCAATGTATATCGTACACCTCGTTCGCAGTTTCAATAAATCTCCAAGTGACTTGATGGTTTGTACAATCATGAAATAGTGATTGGCGAATGAATCAAGATTGAATGAGTGAAGTTGAGTGTAGTATGTATGGCGGATAGATTCTTCTTCTGGATGAAAAGGGTTCAATGTGACGGTGAAGGGAAGTTTAGCACACAATCGGTTGTAGCGCTTGTGATTCCCCTCAAAAGAAGGCTTGCACGAACCACTTCGGTAATGATTGCAAGATTGAGAGCACGATTTAAGTGATTGTGCGGTTGCGGGCGGGTAGGCGATAAGTACAGGTGGGAAGATGAAATGATGTACAGGATTGATTGATTGATTGATTGATTGACTGATTGATTGATTGATTGACCGATTAATTGATCGATTGATAAAATTGTATACAGACAGAAAAGAAATCACAACAGCCAGATGAAGTTCAAGTCTCTTTGAGTATGTGGCACTGGGCTGCTGGATATTGTAATACAATCAGTAATAGGAATGAGAGAATGGGTTTGGTCTGGTTAGGTTGGGTAGAATTGAGATGCTGCGTAGAACTATTGATATCGATTGACAAGATGATGGAAAATAGATGGATGAATGGGTGGATGGATGGTTGGTAGGATGGATGGACGTATAGGAGGAAGAAGAGAAGGAAGAAAACTTGGCGATGCAATAGATCTATCACACCAATAAGTAGAATATTGGGATGTATATAATAAGTTGAGTGAATGAATGAGGGACTAGCAATGTCGAGAGATGTGGT